AAGGGGAAGGAAGGAAGGAAGAAAGGATGGAAGGAAGGAAGGAAGGAAATGAAAGAAAGAAGGGACTTCATACCTAGGAGATAAAACCAGAGAACGAGCAGAAGAATATAAGAGCACACATTGTAAACAAAAACTTTTGCACCAAACACTTGCTAAAAATGCAAGACAGATTTTATTTGAGTTACTGCAGTAGGGGAGAAAGACATCAGTATAGAATATTGAGCCCAGCTCCACATACAACAGGGACAAATGGGGACTTAAGCCACTAGTCAGAGTGAGGGGGTCAGTGAAGTAATTGGAAATACAGAGTAGGGAGATTCTTGCCAAAATGGCCTAATAAATATTCTTGCTAAAGGTCAACTAAAGATGTAGCTATAAAGGGTGAGGCATGAGGACAGATGTCAGGGGTAGAGAGATTCTTGCTTAACTAACTTAGCAGGATTCCTTGCTGAAAACTGGGCTCAGTGGGTCAAGGAGAGGGCTGCAGTTCAAGGTCAAGATCTAATTGAAAAGACACTTGGGGGAGCCTGACTAGAGTTTGGTCAAGGAGAGAGCCTTTGTTAACAGACTGGTCAGAAGGTGAAGGTAATCTTCACTGATTTGTTAGTTGCATGTATCACCCAGAGCTCATCACATCATGTGACCTCCTTAATGTCCATCATTGAACCCCCAAAACCTAATGATGTACTGTATCTTGGCTAATTGAATTTAAAGAAAAAGGAAAAAATGATTTTTTTTTAAAAAAAAGAAGATGAAAGCAAGAGAAAAAAAAATCATGTGATTTTAAAAACAAATCGGTTTTCGAAAGATTGACCTAAACCTCTGAGCTTTGAGTAACAAGTTAATCCATTTGGGTGAGAGTAAAATAAGGACATCCACTTGAGCACACTTTCACTCTGAACCACAAATTGTGTTTTAAAGTCTTCTAAATTCTTAGTTGGTATGCCATTAAATTGAATTTAATGAGACCATCTCAGTTCCTTTTTAAAGATCTCTTCTGATAGATGCAAGCCTTTATTTTTCTTCCAGTGTTGAGACAAAAGGATTTAGTATAAAACTCACGAGTAAATATCCTTAATAGGAGAGAGATAAGCAAAGGAATGGAAATTGCTACATTTTACTGCAAACATTCTATAAGTGAGCAGGAGATAAGAACAAATCTTACCTTTAAGAATCTGCTAAATTTATTTTAACTTTACACTGTTTACTTGAAATTTGAGCGACAATAGCAGCAGGATCCCTTTTCATTAGAACTATCCTGGGAAACTCTTTAAATGATCTCCTCAGATGTGGCTTATCTCACCATCTGTCACCACTGCAGAAAATTGAGCATTGAATTCAAACACTCTTTTCTGCCTGATCTGTTAATGTCCACCAGGATGCTCAGAAAGATAAGAACAAACAATATGAATAAGTACTAATTCAGCATCCACCCCTGCCTGGTGCTGTTCTCCATCCTCCTAACAGGTCTCTGTTCTTTCAGTATTGACAGCCTAAAGGGGAGGTAAACAAATACTAAAAAATTATATGCCATTTGACAAGTGCTGTAACAGGACATGGTACAGAGTGCTGTTGGAACACATGAGAAGAGTGCCCGTCCCATTTCTTGGGTAAGGGTAAGGTTGGGAATAGGAGGAGTGGTAAGAGTGTGAGTGTGTTTGTGTTTGCGTGAGGCACTGGTGAAATGTTGGAGAGAAATAGTGGCCTCCTCAGGGAGGAGGGAGGTGCAAAAGGTGATTTACAAATGGAAAAGGTAGAGTAGGCATTATTCAGGAGGAAGGAGGGGGCCTGGGAGGGTTGTTCTTCAAAGAAGAAACACCATGTGCCAAAGATTTAAGGGCCAACGGGAATGTGTATTTAATTTAACATGTCAGATAAATGATTCTCAAAGTTGAACAGACATGTGAATCCCCCAGGTTGAATGTTAAAATGCAGATTCTGATTCAGTAATTCTAGGGAGAGACCTGAATTCCTGGGTATATAACCAGCTCCTAAGAGATAGCAATGCTGTTGGTTCACAGACCAAACTTTGAGCAGCAGCATACAGACAACGTGATTTCCCGTAACAGGACACTTCTCTCTCTGGAGAAGTCACTGACTATTCCCTAAGCCATTGTCACTACTGATGGTGACCTACTTATTCGCACTGCATGAATCCTTGATGATTGCCCTGTGGGGATAACTCAGCACCTCATTCACATAAGATATTTTCTGTAAGGGAGCCTACCTCTCCGTCCCATAGTATTGTTAAAGTCACTACTTCAAACTCTACTTTTGTACCTTCTTTTCCACCTCGATCTACCTCTTCATTGAAACACATTTAGCAGTTTCACCATGAAACCGGCTGGAAAGGATGTGCTTAAGAAATATTGTCAACATTTGTCAAAATCAAAGAAAATGTCCTGGGGAAGAACTTGCAGCCTTCCTCATTAGGAGCAACTTATAAAGCTGTACTGTATCTTGACAGCAATTCTTTTAATGCCAATTTGTACTCATTTTAATAAATGCATGAGTCTCATCTTGCTGTCTTTGCCTCATCCTGTAGCAGTCAATGTTCTGCTTCTCCAGAGACCAAGGAGAGCATCTTTGCAAATACTCCAAAAATTCCATCTCCCTCCCAAAGGCATGGGAACAGATTGGGCTGCATTATCGAGTTACTTACTGGGAACTCACACCCATGTCACATGGTCCAAAAGAGAATCCTCTCTATGTATAGTTTTGTATATTAGGCGTCACCAAATTGATTTTAATGTGTTTCTGGGGACTAGAAGTTGCTTTCGCTTTGAATATTGGTGCAGTGGTACTGTGTCAGCTTTATCAGCTAATGCACTGATTTTACTCCCACTAATATGAGACTACTACCCTGTTTAATTTTCATAATAGATAAAATAAATAAATTAATTCGTAAATAAATGCACACATAGATGCAGATATATATTTAAAATCACTTTCTGTATTAGTGCTATACAAAATTAGCATTAGGACTAAGGAGTGAAACTTACAGGCAAGCAACACTTTCAAGGTCCTTCCTCACCTTCATTTCCAGCTGGGATCTCAGAGTCATCTCAAAGGCAGTTGGGCTCTCATATCAAGGTATATGTGGGTAGACTTGTCATTTCGTCCTTCCACTAGACTAACACAGCAGTCCTTAAACTTTTTTTTATGCAGAGATTACCATAGCACCTTGTCTACTTGCAGTCATATACAACGTGCTTTATGGGGAAACAAGGAATTTCCATGGGAGATCTTTTACTTTTTTCTGTGTTCCCATTAACCCTTGCTTTGGACCTAGATAACTCTCCCCAAGGTAGATGTCATTCCCCTCTAGAGCAATCAGAGATTGGTGAAGCTCTTTTCCTACACTGTTTTATATCAGATCTGTCTCAACCTCACTTCTCAGTCACTTCCTTCTCACTCTTAAGGTTGTGAACCCTGTAAAGAAAAATGTGAGATGTCCTAACCCTGGAAAATATTATTTTCTTAACTCATGAGCCAAGTTATTGCAGACCCAAGTTAGCTTGGTCTATGGGCTTACCTTCCACACCTACCAATAATAAATGTTTGGCATTTGGGTAAAAGCTGAGCTGTCCTCAGGCCAGGAAAGCATTCACAGGGCATCTGGATTTGGGTGTGAGGGATAGTCACATTTAAGTGTCAGTTCAAAGTGACCGGCCCCACATTGTGAGACACCCATAAAAATAAGGCCATGGGCTCTCCATGATGTTTTGCAAGTGATTTCTTGTGCCAGAAAGGACCACAGACTTTACTCTCAACATTCATTTAAAAATGAAGGGACAGACCCAGAGAGCAGGAAGCAGAGGCCTAGGAATCTGGAGCCAAGTACAAGCCTCCTTTCCTTTTTCCTTTCACGGCCTTTTCCTAGTTAAGCAAGGATTAACATGAGTGCGCTCCTTTCACTTAAATTAGCTCACTCTAGTCCTCAAGGTAGCAATTACTCAGAAAATAATAAAGAAAATTTAAAGTAAAACAGATTTTGTGTGAATTAATCTGTGTAATTTTTAGCCAAACTGTGATCTGTTACATACACCATCCGCAGTCATTTAAAAAAAACATTCATAATAATTAATAATGTAAAAACTAATAGACTACATTTATGTATTTCTGACTTGTGTTTAATTCCAGTGGAATGAAAAGGGACTAATTTAGAACTTAAAACATGAGGGTTATATATTAGAAATGCATTAACTAATCTATTTGCTGTTTCTTTTAAGAGAAAATTGTTAAATGTTGGCTTGATAATTATGTAAAGAATTATTAGATCATATTCCAAAAAATGTATTTTGAAGAGTTGTTCATATTCTATGTGGTCAAGAACAACAAAAATAAAATGTGTAGACTTCGGATACCCATACCTTTTTAAAAAAAAATTCTTAGTATTCATGTTTTCAGAAGAGAGATATTTAGAAATCCATTAAATCCAGAGGGCTTTTTGTATTATAATTCAACCAAATTCAAAATCTCCCAGCCATATCATGAAAAGTAGGATTGGCAATGATTTCAACTAGACATAGGGAGAAGGGAGATAAGTCTAGAGTTTTGGAGACAGAGAAGTTAAAGTAATGCTTCCAGCCAGAGAGATCTAAAGAGATGATGTGCCTTTTTGTAAAGCCCACATTCTTTTCATGGTAGTGCCCTGTCTCCTGATCAAAATTATGTTAATGTGGCATTCAAAAAGCATTATTTGGCTTTTAAAACTGCTTGCTTAAGAAAAACTAGCAGGGCTGGAAGTCAGACAGATGCACCTGTCCATGTAAGCCGTGAGAAGTCACTGGATTACAGTGTCCTGTTCCCAAGAGAATAGCTCACATTGGTTCCACCAATAACGGGAGCAAAGCCAACAGAAACAGTGTCAGCAGGATTTGCAGTTTCTGTGCACTCTGAAAAGCAGGCTTTTGCTAAACCACATCGTGTTTCTTCTCTTCTGAATATGGAGGTGTCTCACCAGAATGTGTTCTCTTTTGTGTTTTGGGCACCAACAGCAATTTGGAGTCACCACTGATGTACGAGGTGTCAGCGGCACAGGAGGGCATTGCCAGCGGGAGCTTGAGAGGTGGCCTGGGGAGCTCCATCACAGCCTGTAAGAAGGTAACCTTGCCCTGTTGAACTTGACTGCTAGTGTAGTTTGACTCTCCAAGTACTTCTTCTAAAGCAGAAAACAATAACAACAACATCAAACACTGGAGTAAGCCACAGTATGCTTGGCGGGTTAACCTCTGATGCTACTAAAAATGTAACTCATTAGAATGATCAGAAAAGTCGAGCAATTCAGATAGGTAGGACTTGAAAACTATAAGCCTCTGTTGCAGGTCCACCAAAGCTTCCACCTCTTCCCTTCACAAACTTGGCCATGGGTAACAGCTTCTCATTTCCTTTCAGAAACATCTTCCCAGGCTTTGAGTGGCTCACCTTATAGGAGACACCTAGGTCTGTACCTAAGAAACACTCTTGGCTATTCTTCTTCTGATACTTTCTTAAAGAGAAGCGTGTGCTTGGCTTATTTTATTACAAGACACAGAGTTACATTTCCTAGAATATAGACTTTAGAACTAATAGACAAGTCTTGCTTTAACACACTTGCTGAAAGTTGTCATTTGAACAATATAAATTCATCTACTTTGTTTTTCCAGTCAATCCAACCTAAGGCCCAGAAACTTAAAACGTCTGCTTTCCCACCCATAGCTTTTGTTACTATTTGCTGCAGAATTCCAGAGGAAGATGTGTTTAATCTCATCTAACCTTAGATGAAATCACACTGCATTATTTCATTAATTACTTTAAAAAGGTTAACTGATTAAAAATACTCATAATCATGGGGTATATCAAGACAAATTCTCTTACTGAACATATTATATAGTGTGTGTATATATGTATGAGTGTGTATGTAATTATGTATACATATTGTAACATTATGTATGCATAAGTATATTAATTGACTGATTACTATACCAAGTTAAGCAGTCTTATTTATCCTCTGCTTGTGTGGTGTTTATATCATTTTCAAGTACCAAAGAAAATGAAACACACATATCTGTGTTAGAGAAGATATGCTGATTATAGAAAAGTAGCATTAAACATAATTTTACAAAAGTATTTGCATGCATACGTTCATAGCCAGATATAAAAATAAACTGGTCTAATCAGTTCAAGGCTCTAATGTTCATGTGTTGTATGATCTATTATTCGTTCTTCTCTAATAAAATTCTTGTAGTAGAGTCAGTGCTATAAATGTTCATTTTTAATGCAGAAAACTGAGGTAGTATAATTCAAAATGATTTTGAGTTACTTATGTAAGAGAGCTAAAACTGCAGGTCTTCAAGCCTTGGGGTATGTTCTATTCAGCTCTGTAACTCTAAATGATAGTCTTCATCAGATGCTACACATTTCCCAAAGGTAAATGATTTTTCATTTATTTTAATTTTTAAATAACTCCATTTCTATTGATTAGAGTCCATGTGGTATTTAAATTAAGGATTGAAACCAGACTGCTTGAATTTGACATCCAGTTTAATCATTACTAGTTGTGTTATCTTGAGCAAATTATCTTATCTCGTCATGCCTCAATTTGCTCATCTGAAAAAAGGAGGTAACAGGTGAGGATTCAGTGAGCTGATAGATGTGAAATGTTTAGAACGGTGCCTGGCTTACCATAAGCACTCAAAATGAAGACTATCTATGTGTAACATTATTCTATAGCATAATTTTTCAATAAGTACATGGTGCCAGAAAATAATTCAATATACGTATTGCCATGCTGAGACAGTTAGCATTTTATGCTCTGTTACCTTGGCTACATTTTTTTTTCCCCCTGGGAAAAAAAAGTAATCATATTCACTTCTTAAAAATCATGTCTGGAAGCTACTGAATAGAGCTCTTTGTGGCTAATGTCTATTCAAAAAATAAAAACCCAAATGTAATCATTTATTTTATATATATATATATATATATAAACCTGTGTGTATATATTTATGTATGTGTGTGTGTGTGTGTGTGTGTGTGTGTATGAATTTAAGGTTTCAAATATAATCATACTCTTACCACAACTGTTTCTAGAACCGTTAGCAGGTTAAACCATATGAAGCTTTCTTTTTACATATTAAAAATGATCAATTATAGGCAATTTCATATGGCCTCGTACATATACATTCAAAATTCTGTTAGATCTTGGGGAGACATACAAGAATGCATGTATATTTATAGGCTAGTTATAGTCTATTATAGAGATAATACTGGTTTCTCATGTGAAAAGTCAAATAGTCATTAATATGTGAGATAACTAGATAGTAATATCTGAAGATAGTCTCAATTATGGGAAAATGAGTATTGTGAGCATTCATAGTGAAGAACAGAGAGAAACTCTGGACCTGAAACAGACAACAACAGTCTTCAGAAAGAGAATTGGATCTTAATTTGGGCTTCCAAGTATGATCGAGATTTGAATGAGTGAATTAGGTTGATTATCCAACCTAATTTAGGAAGGGTTGCTACAAATTAATGCAGAAGTTAACACCTTTGTGTCCTGGAGTATTTTTCTAATGTTCAGAAGTACATTCCTTTCCTTTTAAATGTTCTCTTAAGCTTACATAATAATTGCATTTAAAGAAAGTTTAGTAGTCTTATGTGCCATATGTTATCTTCCACGTGGCTCTGATTGTTTTCCTACCCCTCAAAAGAGTAGTTCATTATTGTTTCCTTTTTTTATATCTGGAACAGAGGCCCTCATTAACAAGACACTGAATATCGAATGAGTTCATGCTTTTATTTTATTATTATATATTACTGCAAACTGATTTAAGTGATCATTGATCAATTTGAAAAAACAAATCTTGTTAATCACGGATAGTGGGCCTGGGCAAGTGAGAATCTATAAATGCACATATAGTGTGTACTCGAAGAGACAAAAGACAAGGAGAGCTCTATCTTAGAAATAGCAAGGCTGTCCAGCTGAATCACCACAGATCACAGTCAATCAACCTTCAGTAAGAGTACCATGGATAATTGAAATCTATTGGTAATTCCCCAGACTAATTTTATGTAATAGCCTCATCTTCTTCCCCATCAAACCTTCTTATCAGAACTGACATATTGCTAAATTAACTGGTGGATGAAATAAAACAAGGGTCTGGAAGATAATGCACTAGTTGGATAATCAGCCTCTGAAAAATTGCAGATTGACTGAGTTTCTCTCCTGTGTATCACATTGAATCTCCAAGGGTTTCAGGAATCCCACCCATGTGCAGTTGCTTCAGTTCCTCTTTGCTGTTGGGGAAATACAGTTGCCGGGAACCACAGCTGTGAAAAAGCCATGGCATCAAGAAAAAGATTTGGGTGGACTTATTTGAAGAAGGAACTCCTCAAGGGACTGCCTTTCCCCAGAGCTAAGATGACTATACCACCTAGCCATAGTTTACATATATTGTCCTTGCATTTTGTTAATAGACCCCCTTTTGCTGTCAGAAATGCCACAATAAGTTATAGGAGTCTATAGAATGAGCTCAAGCTTCAGAACGATCCTTTCTCAGTCTTCTTCCCTTCCTCTAAATGCTAGGAAAGTTATCAGATAAATTCTCACTGAGGTAGTAGTGATTGTGTAGGTTAATATAGTTGTGACAAAATGAAACCTGTTTTTACTTAATTCTGCTACTGCTGAACTAGTTCTGTTGCCCCCTCCTTTAACTTCCATTGGTAATTAATCCTATTGAACCCGGACTTGAATTCAGAATTCTCCAAGTCTTGAAGGTCCAAGCAGACACCATCAATCCATCCAAGTTGGAATGTGAGATCTCCTCTAGGTCACACTAATTTACTGAGCTCCGAACTCAAAGAAAGTCTTAATGTGTGCAATGTGATGGTCCAAAAATCATGTGTTTAAAAGGTTGGGATTTCAAAAGAAAGAGAAAGAGTAGCTGGTGGGGAGTGAATACTAGAGCCCTGTGTGCTACCTCTTGAATCTTATCTCACATAGATGTTGTCTGATGTTACTTCTTCTCATAGGACTAGTCCTTCCTATAAGACCAATACGATCACTATTGTTAAACTGAAATAGGGATTTTTCATTAAATGAGTTAAATGATAAAAAATGTTATAATTTTATATGTGTTAGACACAAAATGAAAAAAGCCTTTGTATTCTCTTTATAAAAATCAAAACCTCATCTCTAGGAGGCAGTAGGATGCCACATTAAAAAAAAAAAATGGACCTAGAATCCAAAGATCTGAGTTAGATTGCAGATTTCTCTTTTACTGTGTGATCTTAGGCTAGTGACATAACTTCTCTGACTCAGATGTCTTAGGGTTGGTGTGATGTTTATATACAAAAGAGTTTGGGGGGTGGCGCCTGGGTGGCTCAGTGGGTTAAAGCCTCTGCCTTCGGCTCAGGTCATGATCCCAGCGTCCTGGGATCGAGCCCCACATCGGGCTCTCTGCTCAGCGGGGAGCCTGCTTCCCCCTCTCTCTCTGCCTGCCTATCTATCTACTTGTGATCTTTATCAAATAAATAAAATCTTAAAAAAAAAAGGGTTTGGGTAAGTTCTTTTAAAAAAATAGATTTATTTATTTGAGAGAGAGAAAACATGTATGTGTGATTTGGGGGAGGTGCAGAGGGAGAGGGAGGGAGAATCTTCAAGTAGACTCCCCACTGAGCACAGAGCCTAATGCAGGGCTCGATCTTTTGACCCATGATATGAGATCATAACCTGAGCCAAAACCAAGAGTTGGATGCTTAATGGACCGAGCCACCCAGGTGCCCTGCTTTGTATAAATTCTCCGTACACATTGCTGATGCTCAGTAAATATTAGCTGATTCCAAATAAATAATCTTTACACAGGGCAGTATTTATTTATCTAGAATTTAAAAGCTAATCTGAGGTAGCATGCACTATCCTCTCATTATGTTGAATCTCTGTTAGATTTTCTTCTGCTTTGAAAGCATCACACTCGATGTCACATTTTCATAGTAACTGGACATTTTCAGTCCTTGCTTCACTTCATGGGACTGAAGATTTGCTCTTTAGGGTATCATGGAATCAAGTCTCTGAATAGGATTCACATGATGAAAGAATTGTTGGGGAAAAATCAACCCCCAAATAT